CCATTTTTCTATTGAGTTTTTTGTCCTTTGTTTTTAATTAATTGTGAGAGTTTCTTATTTCTGCTATACAAAAATCTTTTGTCTGTTACACATTGTTTCAGTCAGAAATTCCAATTTACTTCAAGCAACAAAAAACCTTACAAAAAGACAGGTGTTTATATTTTTCTTGGATCAGGAGATGTGAACTAGAGCATGCAAGGCTGCTGCTGCTGTTCAAGGATGCCATTAGGAACTCAGGCTCCTCTTCTCTCTCAGTTTTGGCCTCCTTGGTATACAGCTTTTGTCACTATGGGGGCAAGATAGCTGCTATACCTCTATTCATTTCAACAACTTTTCAAAAAGAAAAATGAAGGTAAAACAAAGGGCCAAAAAAAGGGCCAAGATGTATGCCAACCAAATCTTTACCTGTAAAAAATCTTTGTAGAAGTTCTATCCAGCAACTTCCATTATACTCATAAACCAAAACAGTGTCACATGGCTCCCTTTAGCTCTGAGACTGTCTAGGAATTTGAGTTTTTAACTTTTGTAACCTCCACAGAGACGAGTAAGGAAGAAGAGAATTGGATATGAAGATTGTGCCACTTTAGTATGATTTTAACCTTGTGTATGTACCTTCTTTCACACCAACATTTTCAATCAGGATGTAGTCAAATGTACTGTATTGTTATAGACTGAATGTTTGTGTTCCCCCCAAAAATTCCTATCTTGAAACTTAGCCCCCAATGTGATGGTATTTTGATAGGTGGGGTCTTCGAGAGATAATTAAGTTAGATCAGGTCCTGAGGTTGGGACCTTAGTGATGAGGTTGGGACCTTCTTTATGAGAAGATGAAGAGAGTGAGATTTCTCTTTCTCCGTGCTCATGCATGTGAAGGTGTAGTGAGAAGGCAGCTGTAAGCAAGCCAGGACAAAGGCCCTCACTAAGAACCCAACCATGCTGGCACCATGATGTTGGACTTTCCAGCCTCTAGAACTGTGAGAAAGAAATGTCTGTCATTTAAGCCACCCAATCTGTGGCATTTTGTTATAGCAGCCTGCACTAATGTATCTGTATTTTCCTTTGCAATTCTATTTTGGGTGTTTGTTAAGTAAGCATTTCCTTATCACTTAATAGTAACCAAGACCACTATGCTGTGCAACTTTTGGGGATGGAGTCATTGATTAATATAGATTACAATATGAATAGTGCCTCCAGAGTTGTGTGATGCAGCAGCTCTATTTTGTTTCTCTCCTAATGATTTTAAAGATGTATTTTACACATTAGATCCTTAACCCATGTAGAATTTATTTTGCATATGTCTGAGGTATCTCATTAGTTCTGCTTTCTATATGGAATTATCCCATTATCTTTTATTTAATAGATCATCCTTTTCCCCACTAATTTTTTTTTCTCCACAAATTCTTAGTGCCTGTCTTCTCTGGGTTCTATGTTCTGTTCCAATAAACGAAATAGCCTTTCTTTAGCAAATGTCATACTGTTATTAATTACTAATGATTCATAATTATGATATTTGGCAGGGCCAATCCTTTGTGGCAGAGACTATTTGTTCACCAAGCCCAGTTTTCTTTTTCTCCTGAAATTTAGCTAGACTATATTTCTCTGTTTTGCTTGAAGTTAAGTTGGGCCAATGAAATGTTGGTGGAAAGTGATGTTTGCCTTCTCTAGCCTTGGCTCCTAAACATGTCCATGCCGTCTCTCTAATCTTTTCTTCTGGCTGGAAGCAGTAGATCCAGTGAGAACTCTGAAGCCCTGTGGATAATGGAGCCACCAGATGGAAGGATACTAAGTTTCTGTGTCTGGATGACTGAATGGAGCAGTGTCCCCTTCTCCCTTTCCCTTCTTCCTCTAACCAGTATTGGACTGTGATGTGTGACAGATCAACTTTACATTGTGTTAAGCCTCTGAGATATTACAGTTGTTGATTGCAGTAGTTAGCCCTTCCTGACTAATATATCCTACTACCATGTTCTTTTTAGAATCATCTTGCCTATTCTGGGCCTTTTTGCAGGTTTTTAGAGTCAGTTTATACATTTTCTGAGTCCTGTAAGGATCTTAATTGGAGTTGTATTTATGGATTAATTTGGGAAGAATTGGGACCTTTATAATACTGGATAAAATTGTTATAAAATATCTCCATTTATTTAGGTCTTTTATGTCCATTAATAATATTTTATAATTTTTCCTCCACAAAGATCTTAAATATCTTTTTTTGTTTCTAGTACTTTGGAATTTACCGCTACTGTGAATGCAATTTTTTTCTATTACATTTTCTAATTGATTACTGTTGGTTTAAAGAATCACTATTGGCCGGGCGCGGTGGCTCACGCCTATAATCCTAGCACACTAGGAGGCCGAGTCAGGAGGATTGCTTGAGCTCAGGAGTTCGAAACCAGCCTCAGCAAGAGTGAGACCCCATCTCTACTAAAGAATAGAAAGAAATTAGCTGAACAACTAAAAATATGTAGAAAAAATTAGCTAGGCATGGCAGCGCATGCCTGTAGCCCCAGCTACTTGGGAAGCTGAGGCAGGAGGATCGCTTGAGCCCAGGAGTTTGAGGTTGCTGTGAGCTAGGCTGACACTATGGCACTCTAGCCCAGGCAACAGAGCAAGACTCTGTCCCTAGAAAAAATAAGAAAAGAAAAGAAAGCAAGCAAGCAAGAAAGAAAGAAAGAAAAAAAGAAAGAAAGAAAGAAAAAAGAAGTTTGTAAAGGAAGGAGCATCTTAAAGAATCCACTTTTAGTTATTTTAATGCTTATTCGCTTATTCCTTTACGTTTCTTAAAACCCATAAGTGTATTATATTACTTTTTTATGAAATGTGTAAGAAGTGGATCAATTTTTAATTAAAACATCTCCAGAAGTATTAACATATGATCAGATATGCTTCCTATTAGGCATTGTACTGAAAGTGCTAAAAGACGTTGACTAGCGTCTCATGAAATAGCATATTTTAGGTAAAATTACAGGTTCACACAATTGGAAGATACCTTGGGAACTGATTCAATCCATCATATCCATTAATATGTTCCAGCAGGAGTAACCACATCTAAACCAACATAGCTATATGAAAAAGATCCTTTTTAAATACCTTTACCAGAATAACCTCAATTTCCTTTATCTGTATAGTAGTCCTCTTAACTGGAAATCCATACAATCAGTGAATGGAAATTCAACAGCAATCGCTGGCAGAAATTCTTATTCATCGTAATCTAAGACCAACGTACTCTGTTCGCTTATTGCATACGCTTAATGAACAGCTGTCAAAATGAAGTCCTAGATTAGAAACAAACACCCAAAATCTTTTTATAAGTATGCATGTCTGCATGAATTGGAAATGAAAAGTATATAATAAAAAGAGCAAGAAAAGAGTAGAGGAAGCAATATACATTAAACACATAAAGTCTTCCTAGTTTGAGTAAATTGGAAACATTGTCAGTAACTTCCTCTGGTGTGCTGGGAAAAGTCCATGATTTAAAGCAAGAGTTTTCTGGATCGACTGACTGTTGGCTCGGGCAAGTCAGAAAATGTGAATCTCAATTTCCTCATTAGTAAACACCCTACGAATACATGTCACCTGCTTGGCAAATACCAGGCATTCAGGAACTGGCAGTCTTTAATACCTGCAAGGCGCTCTGCATTCCTACATGACATCAAAGTGAGTAAGCATCAGGGGCAAGAAATGAGACCTCGGGTCTCTGATACAAGTGCAGTCACACCGGGATACCTCTCAAACGACACACCACCAAGTATCCCTTTTGCTGGAAGCGGATGTAGTATTTCGATAAGGAGCCCAAAGTGCGACCCAGCAGGAAGGAGGGATTTCCGCCGCACAGCAGGAGCTTCAGTGGGCCTGAGAAGCCGAACCGGAACAGGTGGCAGGAACGCCGGGCGCCGGGGGGAGGAGTACGGAAGCGCCCCGGAGGAGGGACTACATTTCCCACAAGGCCGCGGGGCAGGGCGAGGGGCGGGCGTCGGGGACCTTACCGGACGGGCCTTGCCCGGCAATACCAAGGTAAAATGCCGGCACCGCGGCTCCGAGGGAAGAGTAACTTATGGTCCACGCCTAGATTTGTGCTAGTAACCCTCCTAACCCATCCCGAGCTGACAAAAACGACTTTCCCAACTAGGCGATTTTTGAGCTTTCCAGGCCGCAGGACTTCACCGTCACAACCTATATTACCCCCCTTCCCCCACTCCTCCATGGGCCTGGGGCGCTTCCCAAATGCCTGAGGATTCGGGGGTTGCGCTAGGAAGGTGAAGGCCCAGGGCTCCGCTTTCTAGGCTGATGATCCATAATGGTTCCTCGTCGGCCCCTCCCCCACGCCCGTTCTTCTATTAAATCCAGCCGGAGGGGGGCTGTGCCCGGCTCCCCGGGGCTCGATGGACGGGGTGGTGGAGAAGAAGGTGCCCTCCCCCGCGGCCCGGTCTGGTAGCGGCGACCTCTCCTCGCCTTTGGTTGCTGCTCGGACGTCCTTGGCTCGGAGCGGCGAAAGCTGCCAAAGACCTGCGGGCCAAGGACTGTTAAGCACCTCCATCCGACATCCCTAATCCTTTCCTCTACCCTTCGGAGTGGTATAATGATTGCCACCCTAAAGGAGAGGCTAAGTGACTTGCCCTAGGGCACAGAACATAAATGGCAGAACTGAAGGTTTGCGCCTGACGGATCTAAAGCCCTTTGCTTAAGCCCCATTGCCTTCCTCAAGCCTTAACCTAAGGGCAGGCGCTGGGAACCGCGCACTTTCCTGCCCAGCGGTGCTTAAGACCCAGGCGCAGAACCCAACCCTGCGTCCCCAGCGCGCTCCGCCTGTCCGGACGTAGCCTTCTGGCCTCGGTTTCCCCTGTCTGCACAAAAGGGAGCACAGGCTCCTTCCCGGACTGATACGGGGAAGTGGCCGCTTGGATGGTCGTCTTTTTTCCCCCCTTTCCGGGGTCCTTCTCTGGGGACCGACGGCCCGCGCGCGTCACGCAGCGGGCGCGGGGCTGGTGGGTGGGGTTTGCTGCGCGGCGGCGGCGGCGGCAGCTGGTGGGTCCTCCGGTGACTCTGGGGCGGGGCTGTGGGGAGGGCGCCGGCTGACGGACGGACTCCGCCGGAATGGGGGGTGTGGCTGCCCAGCCAGGGTCCTCCGGGTGGGAGAGCGGCTCCGCGACCACCGGCGGCCGGACCCGCTTTGCCTTCTGCTAGAGATGCTCTTCCTCTCGGTGAGTTGTTTTTCTGTCGTTGCGGGTTCTCGGCCTTAGTCACGCCCAGGGGAGGAGGAAGAAGCTGGGCCACCTAGATCTGTGTGGCCTGGATAGGGCAGGGCAAAGGGGAACTGACCAGCCGCGCTCCTGATCCTCCTCCTTCTGGGGCTTGTTGATCCGCGGCTGCGCTGCATGTTCCAGTTTCATGCAGGCTCCTGGGAAAGCTGGTGCTGCTGCTGCCTGATTCCCGCCGACAGACCTGGGGACCGGGGCCGGCGCTGGCAGCTGGAGATGGCGGACACTAGATCCGTGCACGAAACCAGGTTTGAGGCGGCCGTGAAGGTGATCCAGAGTTTGCCGAAAAATGGTACGTGCACCGGGCCCCCGCTGAAGATACCCGGCAGAAGCTTGAATCCCGAGTTTCTAAATCTTACCTCTTTAGCCTTCTTTCTAGTTCTAGTCTTGCTTAGTTAGCCTACTTTTTTCTGTGTTCAAAAGGGATGTAGTAGAAGGGGAGGTATCAAATATGAATTAATTGCCTTCTAATCTTATAAGCCAGAGACAACATATTATCCGAATTTTAAGTAGTTTATATTGTTGAAAACAAAAGTCTTGTCATTTAATGACTGCAGATTTGGGTGTGTTAAAAAAAATCTGGGGTAGGGATGCCTAGTGCTTCATACTCGTAAACTCTACTATTTAAGCCTTTTGAAAACTTTTGATATGGAGGGAGAGAAAGGAAAGAACTATAATCATTCGAAAATGATTTATTTAAATAAGTATATATTTCCTACTTTTTCTTTGCTATTGCATTGTATAATGTTTTCTTTTTTATACTAACATTGTACCTTCTTTGCAGCTGGGGAGAAAAGTCATTTGAGTTGTTCTCTTGTATTTAATGTGTCATTTCTCTGACTGCTTTCAAGGTTTTTCTCTTTATCTTTGGTTTTTAGCAATTTGACTACTAGGTGTGGTTTTCTTAATATTTATCCTGTTCATGGTTTGCAGAGCTTTTCGAGTTTGCAATTTTATGTCTTTGACCAACCTTGACAAATTTTTGGCCATTGTTTAAATATTTTTTTTCTGTTCTAAGTGGAGAGGCTTAGGGAGGGAGATTTAGACTTTTCAATCCATATCCTTCTGCATTATATGAATTATTTTTCACAATAAACATTTATAAAAATAATTTTCACGTACCATTATGCCAGAGTTGTATTATTAAGACTAACTGAATACAACATTGATATATTACTATAGTATTTAATATCATGGTCTCTGTTTTCATTAATCATCATTTGGCTAAGTAATGATTATTCAACACAAGTCTTTCAATAAAAGCTCCTTAAGTGCAGATTCCAAAAAGTTATCAAAACAAATATATACAAAATAGTATTCCTTTTGTAATTTCAAACATTCCATTGATAGAGGTCATATTGGGAATTGAAAGATAAGAAAATAAAAGATAAAGAAATATTATAGGAACTTATTTAGGTATTGATTTTGTAAGTGCCCAATTTAGGAAGGCATCATTCTGAGTTTTATGTAAGTAGTACATTCACTCTTTCTCCTAAACCACACGTTTTTATAGTTGTTTGAAAATTGGTGAAGCTAAATTTCATGACTTTAGTCCACTATCTCTGTTGACATTTTATACCACTTATTAGGAAACCCATGTAAATTAAAATACAGTTTGTACAGCCTGAGCAAGAATGAAACCCCTTCTCTACCAAAAATACAAAAAAAATTAGCCAGGCGTGGTGGTGTGTGGCTATAGCCTCAGCTACTCAGGAGGCTGAGGCAGGAGGATCACTTGAGCCCTTGAGCACTTGAGTTTGAGGTTGCAGTGAGCTACGATGATGCCACACTACTCTAGCCCAGGGGTGACAGAGCAAGACCTTATCTCAAAAACAAAGAACAAAAAACATTGTATTTGCATAACATTTAGGAAGGTACTGCAAAGTTAAGATACTCTGCCAAATGACACTTGTATTGGACAACATCCAGTATACTGTTATCCCCTGAAACTAAATTGATATGAATTCAAGCAGAAGTTTGTTATAATGAATTATTAAATATTTTTGTAATACTACTTTTAAATCATTTGTTCTATTCTGAACTAATATGTGAAGAAGAAGATCTCGTTTTTTATTCCTTGAAGCTTAATCTTAATTTAAGGCCTAAGATGATAATGAGTCCTGTGGCATCCATGTCTGGTATAACCTTGGCCTTTAGAAACTTAAATTCTTAGGTAATGTTTCAAACATATATATCAGATATATTATGGGTGAGTGCCTTGAGGACAGACATCTTACTTTATCTAGTGCTTTACACATAGAATATGTTCAATAAATGTTTCCAGTTTTTGTTTTTAATCTATTATAATGTATATAACATTCACCTAAGCCAATATACTTTCAAATCTTATTTGGTTGACTTCATCTCATATTTTGAGGTGAAACTTTTGATGTTTTAATTTATATTTGTGTCATTTAAATAGGTAACCATTTTTTAATTAAATATTATTTTTTTAAGCCATGAGTGTGGTAGGCAGGTAAACATTTTTAACTGTGCTTTCTCCATTTTTTCCCCTTTGCTGTATAAAGGACTATACCATTAAAACTCAGTATCTGAGAGATACTTCTAAATGTGCGTATATTATGTAGATAATTATTACTGTGATTTTGGAATCAATTATACACTCTTGGCCAAACCTGAAACACCAGCTCTCAGCTTGTCTGTATGGTAATTTCCACAGCTTTTATAAACTGATAGCCTTTGATTACTACATATTATCTGTTTATTATGCAATTTACAAACTTTTTAAAATATATTTTTACAATTTTAACTTTACTTTTTATGATTTTTGTTATAAAAGTAATACACGTTGATGCTAAAATATTTTTAAAACAAATAAGCTAAAAGGAAAATAAAGTAATCCGTACACCTACAATCCAGAGATAACATCTTTTAACATTTTGATATTTATCCTCTACTGTACTTTTAATATATATAAATACTTATTTTGCAAAAGTGCATCATACGTGCTGTTTTTAACTGCTTTGTTTCTCATAGTAGATTATGAAACTTCTAATGCCATTATTTATATTTTTCTACAAGTTTTTATAGCTATACTGTAAATAACCTATTATGTGTGTATATCATAATTATTTAGCTATTTATTATAAAACCAATTTATTATTAACATACTAATTTTTCATTGTTATTAATAGTACTGCAACTTATAGGACTTGTTTATACAGTTTGAAAATTTTAAACGTGAAAAAAATTATAGATATGCTAGAAATATATAGCTAGAAATATATAGAAATCGATGTCTTCAAAATTACAGAGGTAGGAAGTGAGAAATCTTTTTTATCGTAGATGAATTCTTTTTCTACTATTTGGCTTTAGCCCAAAGTTCCTTATCTACTGAGAAATTGAAATTTGGTGGAGTATACCTGTAATTTTTTCATTTATGCTAGTCAGTTTTGATTTGTCAGAAACTTTGAATAAAAATACCTTATTACAGTTGTGTAATAAGTTAATTTGCATTTTAACATATTTGTTTTTAAAGTGACACTTGCCAGTTACTTTGGTTATACCTACAGCATGTTTATTCATTTGTTCTTTTATTTATTGTATGGTCTTAGGCATTGTTATTAAAGTTGAGAATCTCAGAGTGTTTTTTAAGTCAAAGGAACAAACAACAGAGCCATGACTTTTGTTTCTATAACGTAGAAATAAATTATTATCTGAACTATTCATGAAATATAAAATCATTATTAGTATAGCTAAGTTAATTTATAACCTCAGATTATCAGTTGTATTCCCTAAGTGATGTGTATTTAATGTATGTTTCCAATAGGTTCGTTCCAGCCAACTAATGAAATGATGCTTAAGTTCTATAGCTTCTATAAACAGGCAACTGAAGGACCATGTAAACTTTCAAGGCCTGCATTCTGGGATCCTATTGGAAGATATAAATGGTAATTTTATATATACAGCTATGAAAGAATTTCAATTTTAATGACATCATTCATACGGCTGTCACTTATGTGGTTATATATTATTCTGTGCATAAAGTGTCATAGGTCGGTACTGGGTACAATTTTTATCCTCCAGGTCCTCTTAACAAAATTCTACAGAAATAGGAAACTCTCAGGGAAGAGAGGAAAACAATAAAACCAAAAGGGATAGGTGTATCTAAGATAAAAAGCATTTTCAGTTAATCTTTCCTTTTATGGAGTTTTTTTTGATCCAAAAGCAACTTCCAAACTAAGTTAAAGAAACAAACTTTAACTGCCTCTTTTACTTGCCAAGAAAAATAATGACTTTTGCTCGTCAGGTGACGTTGTTTGCTCTGAGCCTTTAAGATAATAAATAACTAAGATTATGACTCAGGTGTTGCCACACTAAGTTGTCTAAGCTTTCACCTCTGACC